TTGAACCCTGAAGTGCATTTTGGGTACCTCATGATGCTGCACAAGCTGGAATTTTACTGTTGAAAAGAAGCTGGGAGGGTTTTCTCACATTCACCTGACTCCAGGAGCTGGGAATTAATAACACCAAATATCCTGACACTTAAGATAAAAATAGTGGGTCCTCGCTGCAGAAGCCCAAGGTGAATGGAGGTCAGAGCTGAAAATTAGTGTATAGTAGGAGCCCTCCTCACACCTTATTCCCCATAGCATTGTGTATGTGTTATATGGGTTCCCACAGCCCATATATGCTCATGGTATACATCTATGGACTGCTTCTGCCCTAAACACCAGGGCTGACCCTGCCTACACCTCTCCCAAACCAATCTTTCTGATTTTATCTCTCTTATTCACAGGAAAAATACGGATTTCAAAGGAGGAGAAAAAAAAAATTGCCCATAGATTTCACTATTGAGCCTGAGCAAAATCTCCTGGCTTTTTTCTGCAGTAACCGTTCCAAAGTATGGCCATTTTCAGAGATTACCAGTTTGCTGAATACCTCTTTTCCCCCACTGTGTTCAATATAAAGTACTTTTCCTTTCCACAGCCTATAAAAGAAGCCTAATCCGCAAACTGAAAGCCAAGTCCTCCACTCTTCCCTCTGCTGCGTCTTGATGCAGAGAATATTCAGCAATCGGTAATCACATCGTAACCATCGCCTAAGGCCTGAGATGTACAGGATGAAAACCCAGCGAGTGATAAGTTTCCAAATGACCTCTGTCAGCTCCTAAGAAGAAAAAGCAAAGACAACAGCCCACGTTGGCAGTAAAGGCCAGCTCAGGCACAACTAAACGTAGATCCGTGTGTAAGAGGAAGAGCAGAAAAGTGACCGTGCATCCCCATCTAGTGGCTTGTGGTAAAATAAATCTGTAGTCCCTTTCATTTGGACGTTTTCTCCTCTACCTCTTAATGCAATCTGCTAAATGACAGACAAGATCGTTGCTAAACGTGCATCAGAGATGGTAGGCTGAGTCAAAGCTGCTCGATCTGATAGATTTCTTCAGATTCAATTTTTTTAATATATAATTATAAGTTATATAATTATATGTATATGTATAACATATTATATTATAACTGTTAAATTTTATGTATAACTTAAAAGGTATTATAAGTTTTGAGGCTTTCAAAGTGATTTTCTTCCTCTGCTCACTTTGTGACCGAAGTTGCTGGGCTCCAAAGGGCCTGGCTACCACACTATGGGAGACCAACGGACACCTTTGCTGCCTGGTATAAATATCAAGGTTTGAGAGATGGCAGAAGACACAGCAAATGAAAAGGAAACATTAACCCATCTTCCAAAGAAATGTTAATTTAACTAGGGATATTCTGTTTAACAGGAGGACAAACAAGAAAGATTCACAAAAGATCAGCCAGTGCCTCTATGAAAAGTGAGCATCCCCCGTTGGACTCATACCTGCTGTCCCAATTTTGCTCTCTCTGTTTACTCAGAAACAGGTGACTCATCGTCTTATTTCCGTCAAAGCATAAAAAGCAGTGTTTCAGCTTTGTAACAGATTTTTTTTCCCGACAGAGTGGCTTCTCTTGGGGTGCCTTGGGTGCTCAGGCCTCTCCACTTCAGAGGTGGTGCAGTGTCACACGTGCCATGGTACTGGGTTCAGCTTTGTTTTAAGAGGAGGTGAGTAAACAGAATTTTGATTCTGAGCCTTCATTTTAGGTGCAATTGAAATGTAGTTACTACCATTAATAATTCTATGCTAATTTTTATACTACCTGTTCTCTGAGCTCTTTATGGCCCTTGTGGGAGATGGCACCCATGGGTGCCCAGGTCTGGCAGCACTTTGCATCCCCTTGCAATGCATTGTGATTAATCCAAATTACCCAGCTTTAGCTCCTGCACCCACAGACTTGCTTCCAGTTACAGGGTGGTTGATGAGCCCCACTGAAACACAGGAGCATCGAATTCCCTGGTATGGCCAGGGAAATTTAAATTCTGAGCTGTGTGAAGACCCGTGAGCTCTCAAGGGGTACAAGGCACACTGTACCTCTCTTTCCTCTCAGAGAGTTTTTTTTTGTTTTGAGCACTGTATGGTCTGTAGAGCAAAAGCTGGTCTTCACCTTGAATCAAAGAGCCCTTTCTGACGGCGGTCATGTTGGCCTCTCCCTCTGCCCTTGCCTGAGCTCTGTAATTACAACTACATGTGGTGTGACCTCTAGTCTAAGAGCTTGAAAAAGGTGATTTGAAAAGGTCTGGTAGAACTGCACCAGCACCCAGGATTTAATGAAAAGACAGGAAGGGCTGTATTAAAAAAAAATATAATTGATCTCCAGACCTAGATGCTTCGGTTTTTTGGGAGATTGAATTGAAACACGGCTGGAGCGGCCAGGCCCAGCAGCAGTGTGGGCTGTTGTCCCCAGGCAGGGATGGGTTCTCCTTCTGTGATGTTATCTTTTTCAGTACTTAACAGCAGTCATATTCTATTTCTTGTAGGAAAAAAAAAACTGCATACATTTATAGACCCAAATACTGTTACTTAAATTCCAAGATCTACTGCTGCCCAGGAGCTGTTAAATATTGAATAGGATTAATGCAATCCAAAATCTCTTCCTTAATGAGAAATCTTGTCTTTAACTATCAGGAAAATGGGTGCTACAGAATTGCTGATTGTCTTCGTCTCTACCAGAACTTGCCTAATGCAGAATAATGTTTGCACCAAATATTTCACTTAGGAGAGTACAGAAACTGCTGGTTATACCTTAGAAGATCTGTCTAGGAAACTGAAGATATCTAACTGATGAAAAGACTTTCATTTAAAAAGGAAACATTGCTGCAAAAGAAAAGATCTCTACTCACAAGAAAATTAAAGTTACATTTCATGAGTCTTAATAAGTTGTTACAGGTGGAGCTGAGAGGGTCTCAAAAAATAAATTAGTAATGCCATGAGGAACCCTATAACAATGCCAGGGACCTTCCTGACATTCATCAGCCTAAAAGCTGGTCCCTATTTAGAAGACAAAGTTATTTAAATTTGATTTCCAAATACTCAGACTATTCTGCCTGGAGGTACAGGTCCAAGGATTGTTGTGGTGGGCAGGTGGAATCAGGGCATTGAAGGGGTTGATGTCAGCCCTGGGCAGGTTCAGCCCTGGGAAAAGCAATGACCTATTTCTGCAGAATCAGCCCAAAACTGACTGCCACAGCCACAGCAAGTGCAGAAAAAACACTGTTGCTTTGTTTTTCCTTGCACCACAGCCTGGCTCTAGCTTTAACCATCGTCTCACTGACCAAAACCCCCAGCTTTTTCATGGTTCAGAGTGGATTGAGTCACGAGCTTGCCCGAACCTCTGTGAGCCCAGGGTACATCCCCCAAAGCCACCCTGCTGCCAACTCCTGCCCATGCAAGCAGCTGCCCACAATGCGCTCTTGTTCCCAGCTCTGGGGAACAAAGGCTGTTGTTGTGGGCTAATGCTGGCTCAGTTGTGGCATGTGGGCTTTTGGAGCTGGGGAGGGGTTATGGGGTGGGCAGGGAAGGGTATCAGCCCACAGCGGATGTACGAGGAGGTTTCCAGGGGCTGTGCAGCTCTTGGGTGCTGGAGGTGTCTCTACAGCTCCTGTTGCTCCTGGGAGGTAGGGCTTTCTGCTGGGACCTGCGGGGTGTCCATCCCTGGTGGCATGGGGGGTTGAAGGAGGGGGTGCCTGGGCCAGAGCAGGCAGTGTGGCTTAGCTGGGATGAGGCGGAGGTGGCTGGGGGACATGGGGGAGCTGTGGCTGTGGAAACACTGCATTGGCATTGCTGTCTGCTGGTGCCAGGGTTGGTGTCTGGGGGCTGGCATCTCTGGTGGGAATATTTCAGGATTGAAATGGCTGAGGTAAAATAGCTGCCTGGGTGGTCAAACAGCACAAGCAGCCAAATCTGCATTTGAGAGCTAGCAAAGAGGTTCTGGTCTGTTCTCCCCTTTGGTTTGAATATTTTGGTTAAGAGCAGTGATGTGGCCACCTTAACACGCTGCTGCGGACCTTACTTGGGGTGGAGAGAACTTAAATCTGTTTGGAAGCCAAATGTAGTGTAAACCGAGAGGGGCCACTTGATGGTGAAGCATCCCACCTGAAAGCCTGATTCCTGGCCTCTGTGAGCTGTGTGGAGCAAGTGGTGTTTTGGGGGAGGTATCTCAGCTGGGGAAGAGGTTTTATTTGCCATCTGCTATATCTCTCCTGTCTGTTGCCTTCAGGGAAAGGTTAGTGGAGAGAATCCCAATGCTGTATGTTCTACCACCAGACGTCATGTGTCACAGAGTCTCTACATCCTTTCTTTTTCACCTCTGTGCTATTAGATTTTAATCAAAAGAAGAATCAGTCCCCTGGATGCTGTATCTCTTGGCAGGACTCAAGGCCAAATCCAGGTGCAGGGAGCACCCAGGATTTTCTGTATTTGTAGTAGCGACCACTACCCTTCCAGCCATGAAACCCCATCCTGGGCGACCCCCAGCTACCTCCAGCTAGGCAAGCTCTCCCCCAAAAATCACTTCCTCACTTTCTAATCCCTGCAGTTTAGCAAGCAGAGCAGGAGCAGGCTGGGCTCACTGTCCCTCCACCCCAGCTGGGGGCCTCGGGTCTGCCTGGTGCTGTCTGACACCCCTCAGCCACTTCCACTCAGATTTTAAAGACTATAAACTCTCAACCTGTCCCTTTTATTTGTATTTCTTTTTCCTCGCCCCTTGCACACAGCGCAGCTCCCATGTGATGAGGCCAGCCCTGCAGATGCCAGGCCTTGCACGTTGCCCGCCCCGGGCCCTCGCTCTGTCCCCGCGGGGCTCGGGTTTCCCCTCCACGCCCCAGTGACGCTGCCTGTGGTGACAGGTGCCAGCCAGGCCACGGCCGCACACCGGGGTCACCGTCATTGCTGCGGCGGGGGGAGCGGCCGGCGGACATGCTGACATAGGGGCCAGGCCCACTCCTAACCCCACAGCCCTGTGCCCAGCCACCGTGTCCTGCCACGGCACCCACCATGGACCCGGCCCCGGAGATGAAGAGGTAGGTGGATTTCGGAAGGGTGCGAGGGTGTGTGTTTGCCCACAGCGCCAGTTCATCCCTGTCCCTGTGGCACAGATGGAGTTGTGTACGGTGGGGGGGTAACAGCAGATGTGGCCGTGTCCTGGGGGCTAGGCTAGGCTTTGTGAGGAGATCTTTACCCCTCAGTAGCCTAAGTTTAGGAGTTAAGAAATTATGACTTATGAAGATGGTTTTTTGCAATTTATGTTGCTAAAAACATCTTGAATTTAATGACTTTTTTAACTCAAAGGTGTTGCCTCACTTAAAGCAACCCTGTGAATTCCCTCTGAGCCCTACACCTGCAATGCAACCTGCTCAGTTCATGGAGGGGGTTAAACCTCTTGGTTTCACCTCTCTAAAGGTGAGCTCCAAGCTATCCAGGAGCAGTGGTGAGATGAGCTGTGCCCACAAGCATCGCATGCCCTGGCAGTCACTGCTTCGGTCCTGCTGTTGGGTATTGGGGATCTTGGAATGGGCAGCATCAGCCCAAAGTATTGCACTCAATTTTCAGATGGAGTCACATTTCAGTGAGATTTTAGAGGAAGTCTGCCTTTTCCCAGCAATAATTGCGGCTGTTTCACCTTCCCAGCAACAAGCGTTAATCAACCTTAGAAACCCTGCCTGGGCAAAAATGGCAAAAGGCTCGGTGGAAGAGTTATCCTGGCATCACTCATCCTGGTGAATACTTGTGCTGCAGTCTGCCCAGGTCACCTGGCAGCTCTCCTGGGATGGCTGGAGACGTTTGACCGGTCAAAAATGAAGCTTGTGCCCCCGGACCCTGAGAGCTGTTTCTCTCTGCACAGGGGAAGCCACACTGCCCCTCGGCATTTCAGTGGGAGATTGATTCTGAAAACCGTCTTGCTCGGTTCAGCCAGCTGGGAGTTCAAACCAGTCCTCTGCTTTGACAGGCAGGGGTGGCAGAGGTCAGGGGGTTGAGTGGAAATTGGAGGGACTGGCCTGCAGCCAAGCTGGAGCTTATGGAGGTGGCCTGAGTTCAGGCTTGTTTGCTGAATCTCTGTGAGATTTTTCCCAGGGAGAGTTGAGGTTGAGGTGGTGGAATGGAGACCTTTGAGATACCTCCTGGGAGCCAGGTGCGTGGCTTTGGCAGTGAACTCAGATGAGATCAACCGGGCTCTGGCAGCACCTCAGCATCTCAGACTTCTGGTTCACCTCAGTCTTTTCTTGCCTTCATCAACCAAAGCAGAGCACTATTTGCACATGCGGTCACTTCCTTGCTACCTGCTAGCACAGTCATTAGATATTGTATCTCAAAACCCTGCTACCAAACTCCCTTTTTTCTTTTCCTCCTCCTCGCTTGTTGCACAGGAATTTTCTCCCTGGCAGAGGGGACTCAAGGGCTGCTTACTGCTGTTGCAGACTGCTTGTCATGGAGCATTTTCTAATGGCAAGGCTTTGGGAGCAGCAATGTGTCTAAACCCAGGTTATATAGGACTGTAACCCCTAAGTCTTGCTGTGCATCTCGATATTGACCTGTGGTTACCCAGAAGATAACTATTCCCCTAGCATAGATAGCCTCACCCCAACACTTTCTTTGCAGAAGTGAGGTCCTTGCTCCTTTTTTTTTTTCCTTTTGCCAGTGGCACCTCATCTCTATTTCACAGATGAGACACTTTGCCAGAGGAAATCTTCACAAAGACCCCTAAGCTAAGAATGAAAATCTATGACTCGATGAAGATGTTTATATGGTCAAATGACCTCTTTGATTTTTGCCCTTTGAGTTCTGTGCCTTCCACAAGTTATCCAGTGTAATATTTGCAGCCAGGAAAAACTGAAGTTAATTTCACTGCTATTTCTTCTGCTCCATTCAGGATTAAAGGTTTCACAGTGTGTGTAATATCAGTCAATCTAATGCTTTCCACCGTATCAACTGGTTAGGGATTCTTCAGAGGGAGAAGTTTTCACAACACATCTCAGACAAACACTGGTGCAGGTGGCCAGTCCATTGCTGATACTGATGTGTGATCAGCTGACCTTGAAGATTTGATTTTACTTACTCTAGTAAAATAGAACAAACATTATTGCTTACCAGACAAGAAGAATTTGTCCTGGAGCATCTTCCTTTTGCTCTGCATTTTCAATGCAGCTTCAAAAACGAGTGCAGGTTCCTCAAATAACTGAAGTGCTATACTTTCCTTACAGGAATAGGTTCCCCAGCATGAACTTTGAAGCAGAGATTCTGACAACTCCACATGATAATTCAGGTATTTGGGAGAAAAACAAACAAACAAACAAACACAACACCACTAAAGTCAAATGCCAATTCAGCTTGCTATCACGACAAACATGTTTTAATTGTTTTGGAGTTAGAGATTAAAAAAAAAAAAGAAAGAGGATGCTAAACTGACTGCAATTTGAGTTATTTCAGGTTTACGTTAGGGTCTAGTTCAAACTGTTGAGGATAGATGTTGTCTTTGCCTCCAGTAGGGCTGGACATAGGGTTTCCATACATACCTACCAGAAACACAGCTGCCAACAGCATGTGGGTTTGGAAACAGTACAGGCATCCAGTTTATGATTGCACGGTCCTGTGTGAGACATACAAAGCTTTCATATTAGGGGCAACTAAATGCAGATGATGAATAAGCAGCTCCTCAAAAGGCAAAATTTCGTTTTTTCGTTTATGAGGAAAAGATGGGGTTTTTCTATTGAATATTACCTTTCCAATGCTGATCTTACTTGTTGAGGCTGGCACTGCAACTGCCTTCCTACTGCAGCCCCCTGTCTGAGATAGACCCCAGAGCCAGTACTCAGCTGAATGGCATCTGCTCATGAGTCTCAGCTCCTAGTCTTGGGCTCCTCAGGCCCAAGCCGTTGGCCAGAGCTTGTGCCCTGTCATTAGAATCAGGCATCAGGAAAGTGAGCTTTCTGTAATAACTGCTTGCAACCCCTTGAATAGACCTGGGCATTTTTTCAGAGCTAGAAATCTTGACTCAGCCACCCACATTTGAGCATGAGCCCATTCAGATGAACTGCTTCTGCTATCGGTTGCCCTCTTGGCCACAAGCTGCAGTTCCCAGTGGGGAATTCACCTCCCCAGCTGAACACCACAGTCCCATGCCAGCAGGAGTCAGAAATGTGGTGCATGTGGTTGACTATTTTTGCTCCAGGTACAGCTGGCAGTCTTTGTGTTGCATCACCCCTAATAAGAAGTGTGCCAAGAGCTGGTGATTTTGGTTATGCCATCCAGTATGTGCACGAGCCTCCAGGTTTGGACCTGGTGGGCGATTCCCTTCACCTTCTTGCCTTGAGCCTTCCAGAAAAATATTCATTACCTCTGTTTCTGAAGACTGGGTACCCAATTTTTAGCTAAGCATCTTCAGGAAATTATGGCGATATTTTCCTCAGGGAGACCTGTAGTAATGAGGCACTTAAATGCACTGATGTCAAAGGGCATCCAAGAATAATTTTCAGGTCCTGAGTGGGAACAGGATGGAAAGTGTTCACACGAGCCCAGCTGCTTGGATGGCTCCCGTGCCATACGTCCTCTCTACCATCTTTCCAAATCTTTGGCTTCTGTTGGGATGGGTTGGGTTTCTTCCATGACGTAAGTGCTTTGATCTTTCATTTGCCTTGAAGCCACTAACACAATCCCTCTTTGTTTCTCAAGAGCTGTATGTGATCCCTTCCATGAGAAGTCTGACGGCTGAGGAATATGTAGAAGCCTTTCAGTCATTTTTGGACCATTCAACAGAGCACCAGTGCATGGACGAGTTCAACAAGGAAGAATTGCCCAACATCATGGCTGGGTAAGAAGCGCTGCCACTGAGGTGGGAAAGCCGTCTGTTATCTTGGGAGAGCAACCTGCTTTCAAGGGCCAGCAAAGATGTTTAAGGATTTTCTGGAGCATGAATGAACTTTCAGTGCTTTTCAGTTTTAAGTCCCTTAATAGTGTTCTTTAGGATATTCTGTTTAATGACTCCAGAGTACACGCTATTTCAATTAATACACTGTGCTTACGTTAAGGAAAGAATCAAAACCTCATTTTCATGTCCATCTCTTTTCATTAGCTGATTTTCCAAGGATTAAAAGGTGTTTTTTTTCTCTTGTTTGTTGTGGGGTTTTTGTTTTTATTTGTTTTCAAAAGAAAGCTCTCTCTTGTGTGCTCTCTGTGCTTTTGGGACTTCGTCACACATCAGGCCGAACAGAAACACATCTCTAATTCTCTTCTAGTGACTAATTCTTGGTTTTCTCAATCCCCTAAGACCTCCTTATTTCTATCCTAAGTCGATTTGCAGTGCCTAAGTACTAAATGATAATCAGTTTTCTGAAGTACTGATGTGACTGGGTGACTGCAAATAAGTTTTAGAGCAGTCTAGATCCGAAGCACAAGAAAGATCTTTCAGGTTTGGATAAATTTTGGATGTTACGGAAACTGTATTCTCCACTGAGAAAAAAACTTAGCCAGGTAAATTTTTACTCTCCAAATCAGGTATATATAAAGAATAAGCAATACAGTAATAATCAAATTTAATTTGTATTGGGAAATTGTAATTGCAAAATTTACTTATGTGAATTTTAGATGCTGTTAAGTTTTGTGGTTTCCTATGATGCTGATTGTGGGTCTGTGAAAGGGTCTTGACCCTCATTAGGTCTAAGGCTCCTTGACTAACTCACACCCAGCAGGATCTGCTACTCTCTCCCCTCTCATTAAGTCATGGCAGTGGTGTTTCCTGAGATTGTGTATGGGAAACAATCCCTCTGCACAGGCCATGCCCAAGAGGAGGATGAGGCCATAAAGCATGTCAGAGGGACGAGACGCCTCAAGCCTGGGCTCCTCATCCTTGAGCCAGGCTGGTATTAAATATTCTGCTAAGAACCACGAGGTTGGGGTTTTATTTTGGAAATTCTCAAAAGCAATTTTTCTAAGGTATAAATTATTGAAGATTTTGACCTTTTCTCCCAATTTAAAACTAAAATGAATATTGAAATGACATTTTTTCCAATAATCTGGATAGCAAGATTTTAAAATTTTCTGAGCACTTATATCCAGTATTGGATAACCACACTTGTCTCCTGAGGGCACAGAGGTTTCTCCCCAGCTGACCTTGTCCCTGCAGCCCTGGCTGGGTAGCAGTGTTCTTCCCATCCAGGCACAGCCCTGCTACCCCCAGAGGGAACCCTTCACCCTGGGGCTCCCCAAGGACGTTTTTGCACGGTGTCAGCCACAGCTTGAAGAAAACTCTTTGGCAAAGGATGAGAAACTCTATACCCTGATGCCTACTGTACTTTGAAATATGACCTTGTTCATATGGGGCTGGCTCCCACCGTGCAGCTGGTTATAGCTCATCTCCAGAAGGGATACTCGGATTTCTATCACAACTCATGTGGCAAAACTCAGTTAAATTTCCAGTCCAATGTGGCATCCAAGATATTAGAATTAAAACATGAAGTTGGGTGACATGGTGTGGTTAAATGATGTGTATTTATCATTTCAGTCTCGGCAATGGAAAATCAACTATAAACGTTCTGGGAGTTGGAAGCGGCACAGGTAAAGAGCATCTTCAAACCTCATCGGAGAGAATTAGAAACATCTGAGAGGTTCCTTCTGCACAAAGCCCTATCATAGAGTTTCCCATCCAAAGGGGTGTCTGGTTTTGCTTTGCTTTTAGGGATCCCAGAGGCCAAAGTTGGGCTCTGCTCCAGGTGGTGCAAAACCATCTGGCCACAACCGTTAGCATGGAGCCTCATCAGCTTTTTCAAGACGCGTTTGTTACTACTGTGTTTTTATCTGGTGATAAGTAAGGTTTAGCTGCAAATGATATTTCCCCCCAGAGAGAAACAGTCTTTTGGAAAAATGGCTTTAAAGCTGTGCTAAATGCATTTGCGTTTAAAAAAAAAAAGTGCTGAAACATCCAACTTAGTGCCTTGGGAAACTGGGAGAAAATAAAAAGTAGATAAAAGAAGTGGCAGTTTGATTTTTCAGAGTTTGCTTTTGCTTTTAAAAGTATTTGCAGCTGAATTTTAAGTGTTAATGCTTTCAAATGAAAGTATTTTTCTCACTCCTTTTGCTTGTTTTCCTGGGTAAGAGAAAAATAGCATTGAATAGTTTTCCCCAACTGGGAATATGTTAGAGCACGTGAGAAAGCAAGGAGGAAGAAATGATTTCATTCTCAACTGCACTCCATTTTCATTAAGTAATATAAACCCAAATTTCTGCCTCCAAGAAAACACATGGGAAAAATGAAGTTTTTCCATTGTACTCATTTTTCCTTATTTCCTCTTCAGAAGATACTTTAATAGAAAAATAAAAGCTCTAAGATGTCCTGGCTGTCCTGGGTAGCTGCCTCTCACAGATGCCGGGGCAGGGGTACACTCTCGCACCCCCTCAGCTTGCCCACGGCTGCAGGAGCTGAACTTCAGCAGCCGGGCGGGGAGTGAGCTGGGATGACATTGAGCAAAAGGTTATATCTGATCCCTGACCTTTCCAGCTCGGACTCTGATTTCACAGAGCACCCAGAATTACTTTAGTTGGCAAAAATACTAATGGGGATTAGCGGCCAACTCCACATCCTAAAAGACTTGTCTGGTCCAGATCACATTTTCTCATTCACCCCATGTTTTCCATGGTTGGTTTGAGGATCTTGGCTGTAACCTCCCAGTCAGTGCCATCATGGGCTGCTGTTTGCAGAGGGCTTGAATTCCTAACCTTCCCCAATCCCCAAACCAATCAGTTTTTAGGATACCCATTTAGTGTTGATATACCCATTAGCCACCATCAGTGGCTCCAGGGCATGGGGCAGTGATGCTCTGCCTCCCACCTGCCCTAAGCCTGCAGAAAGCCCACGTCAGCACCTCTAATTGCCGGTGTTCGCCACCCCAGGCATGTACTAACTGGCATTTAGGACTGTCCAAAATGATTCAGATGCTTGCTATAGCGATTTTTGCTTCCTGTCAGCAATATTGGTCTATCCACCCACCTTCATGCAGCTGAAACCTCTTTCCTTGTGCCTTTGGCCAGCCCTGCACTGCTACCACTGCATTCCTCAGGGGTCTTGGGTATTTTTTGTCCAGTTTCAAAAGACCTGTCCTTCCTTGGATGTCCCTGTATTGCTGACGTGGCTGATATTTGCCTCCTTGAATTCTATTTATTGCAACAGCTGCCAAAGATGACAACTTTTCCCATCGCTGGTCCATCAGCTGAAAGGCTAGGGAAGATGCAGTAACTCATACCAAGCCCCCTGTGTGTGACCTTTGCAGGGACAGGACTATCTTTAGGCCTCACCATCAGCTACAGTCAGGATTCTCACAAAGGTCCACTCAAGGTGGCCACCTCTGCTGCCTATTTCCGTAGTCCCAGATGAACCAGATGGACTTTGTACACTTGGTGAAGTTTCTGAGAGAAACAAGAGTGATTTGCATCACCTCAAAAGAGGCTGGGAGTTTCCTAGGTCAGAAGGACAGACTGCCACTTGCTTCTCCGGAGCTTAGACAGCAACAGCGAAGCACCAAGAGCTAAATTTGCAGGCCACCTACACACAAATATATGAGTCTTTATTTGCAGCTCCAAGATAACAACTAGTTAGTAGATGCCAAAAACTAAGAGCATGTGACTGGTCCCCAGAAAGCTCCTTCAGGGTACTGCATGTTAATGGGTCTTTCCTCTTGCCATACAGGTCCCCAGGTATCCAAGCTGTGTCACTCGAGCAGCAGAGCACCCATCACCTCCCCAGGGCAGTGCTAAAGGCATGGATCTCCCTGTGTCGTGCTGAAGTTGCACAACTGTGCTGACTCCTTCCATTCAAACTTTGCCTTGAAAACTACTGTTGATCTTTGATTGTTTCGACCATGACCCACAGTATTGCCACTAGCAGGTTTCTCTTCTGCTGCTTAATCTGTAAATAGGTGTTACCTCGAGCAGTAAGGTATCATGGTAAGGCTATCACTGGGTTAGATGCCACCATGCAAGCCAAAAAGTAGACAGTACCACCCTTCTACCTGAGGGATTTCCTGGCAGCAGAGGCACCGGCATCCTTTCATCTCATTTATGCACTTGTAAAAATAATGAGTTTGTGTTTATTGAATAGGTGAACAGGATCTAAAAATGATCAGGATACTGCAGGCTGCGCACCCGGGGGTCCTGATTGACAACGAAATCATAGAGCCCAACCCACAGCACGTGGCAGCTTACAAAGGTACGGCTATACCTGCCTTGGGGGTAGCGAGGCCCATCAGTGGGAACAATGAACTTTTCTGCTGTTCTGTGAAATTCATGTTTCTGTTCTCCTTTTACAAAACAGAGTTGGTGAATCAAGCTCCAGACCTGCAGAAAGTCTCTTTTCTTTGGCACCAGCTCACTTCCTCGGAGTACGAACAACAGGTGAAAGAGAAAGGCACACATAAGAAATTCGACTTCATCCATATGATCCAGGTAATCTTAATTGCTTTAATATAGGAGTATTAGTTTTAACTATTCCCTTTGTTTGGCTGTGTGCATTAGGAGGACCAGAGCTGAGCACAGTTCTCCCATGAGCGATAACTTCTGCAGCACCTCTGCAAACACCAAACCTCATTCCCTATCCACTCTGGTTCTGGTCTATAGTTTGTACTGGTTTAATTGTGTATGGTAATACAACAGGACAAGTCTCAGGCCATCACACAGAAGCTAAAATTTATGCTTTGCTGCAAAAAAAAAATATTTTTTTGCCTTATCATAGTAATTTGGATGGCACTGAAGTGACAGGTTAGTGAATGAGCACCTGTGTCAGGTTTTGGGTCAGAAATTATGCTGCTATGTCTCTGATAAAGATGACACTGATGTTATATGTGCTTATTATGTTTTGGAAAAAAATGGTTATTCTCTCACTTTAAAGGCTTTTATTTCATTTTGCTTTTATTTCATTTTGCATTCATTTCATGAGAGCTGATTTCACAACCAGAAAGTGTGTCAGGGATTTGATGGCTGGGTCAAGGACTATTCTCTATGGAGAAGCCTTTGAAGGGCCATTGCACGATGGAGGAGGAATAATGGCTGTGTGTAACTCTGTCACTTCTAGATGCTGTACCGTGTGGAAGATATTCACAGTACTCTCAAGTTTTTCCACAGCTGCCTCGACCATCATGGTAAACTCCTGATCATAATTTTATCAGGTAAGAGGGACTTTTGATTTTTTTGCTTCATTGCTGGTGTTTTGAAGAGCTTTGGAGTTTGAGAGCCACAAATATTTGTCTCGGGATTTCAGTAGCACTTATCATATAGTAATTAAATAATAAAATAAAAGCTGTATTTCATAGGAAGCGTGCGATCTTGGGCTTAGTTTCTTAGACCTTAATGCCTGATGGGGCCACTTAGGCACAGTCTTTGTGCTCTTACTTCCCTGCTTCTGAAGCAGATGAATTGCTCTGTACCTCAAAGACACCTCCTGCTGTGAAATTACTGGCTGGAAAGAATGAAGGTCAAACCTTCTTCATGGTGAAATCAGCACTATAAAACCACAACCTGAGCTATGGGAGGACCCATCTTTGAGGCTTTTCCCTCTGCACAGCTATGGCCCAGACCCCAGCAGGAAAACAGGTGCTTGCCAAGAGCTGTGGACTATATGACAGGAGAGGAAAAAGAGGCACATACAACAGCATGACACTTATTTTAAAAAAGAAAAAGTGGGTTTTGGTGTGCCCTTAACAAAACCCTAACTTGTGATGTGGTGGATAAAGCACACTTCCCCATGTTTGCCATTAAAGCTCCCTTTAGCACTGCTCGTAGGTTTGCTCCCCTCCTAGCTGGGACTGGCTCCTCAGGTATGTATTCTTTGATGTGCACTCAAAGTTGATGTTCAACGTATAAAAACACCTGCATTATTCTATCAAAAGGGCAGTTAATAGGTAGTGTGCATGTGCAGCCGCAGTGCATTGGTACCTCTGTGTGTACCCCTCCTTCTAGGCAAACCATTTCGTGGTTGCATTTGCTGGTGTTTGACTGCCTTGGCTTTGCAAAAGTAACCTTCCCTTCTGCTCTGGCAGACAGTAGTGGATGGGCCAGCTTATGGAAGAAGTACAGGCACTGCTTGCCGGGCAGTTAATAGGTAGTGTGCATGTGCAGCCGCAGTGCATTGGTACCTCTGTGTGTACCCCTCCTTCTAGGCAAACCATTTCGTGGTTGCATTTGCTGGTGTTTGACTGCCTTGGCTTTGCAAAAGTAACCTTCCCTTCTGCTCTGGCAGACAGTAGTGGATGGGCCAGCTTATGGAAGAAGTACAGGCACTGCTTGCCTCCCCCCGACAGTGGCCACTACATCACCTCCAGCAGCATCACGGATGTTTTAAAGAGACTGGGTGTTGAGTACCGCGTTTATGAGTTCCCGTCGGGCTGGGATATCACCGAGTGCTTCATCGAGGGGGACGCTGTTGGAGGCCACATGATGGATTTCCTGACGGGGACAAAAGACTTCCTGGGCACGGCGCCCCCGGGGCTGCGGCAGCGGCTGCAGGAAGCTCTCTGCCAGCCCGAGTGCAGCAGCAAAAAGGATGGGAGGATCATCTTCAGCAACAACCTGAGCATGGTCGTGGTTGAATCCTAGAGTCCGGACCAACTGCAGAAGACAAGTTAGGGTGGGTATGGGGGGCGATGCAGGGGCAGAAAGGTGTAGCACAGAAAGAAGGCAACTCACAGGCAAGAAGGCAAGAAATCGGGAAAGCAGCAGCCTCCCATTCCCAGCCAGGGTCAGAGGAGCTGCCTGTGGCACCGAGGATGAGCTCTTTGTCCTGCTGGAGTCAACAGGGCCAAGATTTCACCCTGTTTACTTAGTCCAGCCCTAGGAGGATGTTATCCAGAAAACAAAGAGCTCCATCTCACTAAAAGCCTACATGGACTTGTTTTTTAATGGTGTGTATCCTGCCTGTGCTTCTGACACTGGGATTCCCACTTTTCTATAGAGCCAGCTTGTTTACGTATCTAAATATGTGTCTATACGACCCGATGCCGCATTGCAGCCAGGAGGATGCTGCAGCCTCCGTGCTGGCTGCGTACAGACCCACTGCTTCCAGCTGCACCAGGACAAAACCAGCAAGGTGTCCCCGCTGCTTTGCACCCCAGTAATGTGCCTCACTGCACCCAGACGTGGTCTGGAAGTTGCTCTGCACTAGGGTATTTCACACGGTTTTATCAGCATAGGTGTTTACTGCCCTCAGCATCTCGCAATATCGACATGTCTTAAAAACTGATCAGCCTTTTTGTGTGGAGAATTTCTGGATACTTGCCCTGTGCTCTTTCAGTCAGATATTAATTTTGTTACTTTCTTACTACTGTTCTTTCGCTATGTAAAATAAAAGCAATTTTAAACCAAAAAAGTCACATCTTGTTCTGTATGTGTGGGCTTACAGAAAATGGAGAGTGAGGAGGTTCTTTAGTTAAAAAAAATGGAAAATACTGTTTTATGGAAGCATTAAGGGTTTCTTCTAAGTGAGAAAGACAACCCTGAGGACATGAAAGAGCTGGATGTGAGCTGCAGTTCATTCTTGTGCTGCAGCCATGGGATGCAGCTTTGCTCACTTGAAGCAGCATTGCTGTTGCCCAGCAAACTAACACCTACTTAATGTATTATAATGTAAGATTATAATACATTAATATAATGTAAATTGTTAATATGTGTAAGTTAAGACTATTTCCACAGGGTCCTGAGTTGTTCAGACAGCTGAAGGAGGCACTGCCAGGGCAGCCAGCTGGAAAGGGACACCCTGCACTGGAGACTGGTTGTGTTTGGTGCTGCATTTAGGGCCATGGTGCTGTGCAGACCTTGGGATGGGCACATGGGTTGATGATGCCTGGTATTGACCAAAAGCATCACGAACACATGGGTTGGCACTTTGGCTTGCAAAATATTAGGTGTCATTGTCACTCAGAGTCCTGCTGATCCCACTAAACTCACCCCATCCCACACGCCATCGATCTGCTGGGGTGCAGTTACTGCCAGAGGTGGCAGCGCTCCTGTCTGAAAAGGTAATGTCAGCCCATGGAGTCACTGTGGCTCCACTTTGTGCTTTGGGTTTTTGTGGTTTCTGGGTTTTTTAAGCTTTGGTTTGTGGCCCAGGTTCCCCCAGATCTTCCCCATCCCAAGAGGTTTTCATCCCTCCTTGGAGTTTCCTGAGCAGAGGGACACATTTCCAGTAAGCACAGCCCATGAGCACAGAATTTACCCACACCACTGCAAATCAATGCTCAAATGCTGAAAAGCAAAGGAGCACTTCAAAGCAGAGTGTTTAGTGACAGCCCGGGGAGATGAAAGAGTGCACCCCATTAAAAGCACAACTGCTTAATGTTTTAGCTGCGATTTTTCTTTTGATTCTTGAAAAGCGAGTCATTTAACAAAGACTCTGCTTGCACACCTGGAACAAATACTGCCCTAAGTGTCTGTTCTATTTATTCACGTATTTGTTTTTGGGTGGATGTGCTGTTTAATGACTATTTGTTGTGTGGTTTTTTTTTAAGATCGGATGTCGGTCTGTGCTTTCCCAGCTGCGGGAGCGCGGTTGGGTCTGCGTGGCCACGAGAGGGCTGCAGCAGCCAGCGGATTCAACCGGGTTCCCAGAAAAACGCCTAAGATGCAGAGCTGAAGCAGCAGGGGCAAGTAGCCAGGATGGAGCATTTCTTTGCTGGGTCATCGTGTCCTGATTCCAACTGTTGGGGACTGCATTATTTTTAAATTGAGCGGTTGCAGATTTTATCCTTATTTCATGTTAGTATTAGGCCCATTTCAATGGCAGGGCATTGCTCTGATTGTGTGTTGCAGCTTCCTAAAAAGTAGTAACAGAAAGCAGCTCATCATGATATTAAAGAAGGAGAATTTGGTTTTTACTAGGCCTGTATTCAGTCTTGGGGAGCTGAATTGTTTGCCTCTGTAATGAATGTTAAGGCTTCTCTACCCGTGAACATTACTGGCAGGATGTAGGTAGCATAGGAACAGGAAAATCTAACAGTTTATTTCTGAATAATCCCATGAAATTACAAGGTTGGTAAAATACTGGAGCATGTATTGAAAAGATTAAAACATAAAAATACAGATGCTGAAATTCCACCCCCCTATCCCTGCCATCTTCAATATTTGCCCACAGAAAATTGTTGAGGCTTCTATCAGGGATTTAGAAAATCTTCAGGGGCCGCATGCATTCTTCTTAAAGAAATACATCAAATAAATGCATGGCTGTAAGGTGAGATCTTCAGTGGTCATGAGTTGTACAGTAACTGCATTAACAGTGTTCATTGAGACACCAGGCTTTGCCTTGCAGATTTGGGATGCTAGTTCTGGAGATCTCTTAGGTGAAGAAACCCATGGCAGGATCTAGATGTGCCAGAGAGGTTCCCACCAGGTTGTGCTTAGGAAATCTCAGGATAACTCAGGGAATGCTTATGCCCAGAAAATTGTCTTCCAGCTGCCCTCAAACCATGTGTGGTTCAGAACTGCTTCCTTGGAAATATTGGCAGAGATTCCTTGCTAGGCACAGAGTTCGGGTTTCCTGAGGGACTGACCTTTCTCAAAGCCCTCTGTGAGGGGAAGTACAGAGGTAACTGTGAGCTCAACATGCAGCGCCTCTTGTCTTTTGGTGGATTTAGTCCTAATGACCTAGAACATGAACCATCTCCACATGCCCTGTATTCAGCAGAGAAGGCAGCAAAGGCCAGACAAATGTCCCCAAAGCTGTTGGTTCTACCTCTGTGTACTGGTGATAGGATCATACAACCTTCCTGGAGCTTACAAAGACCTGTAGGATTATTAGCATTATTAACCTTCTGGCTTAGTTCATAACTCTAAGAAGGTGTTTGTTGTCCTACCTTTTAAAATACAATATTTTTTCAAAGGACAGATCCTCCAGGCTGAGAACAAACTAAAGTCTCAAATATCTTCATTATTAACCATCACTCTTTGGAGTCACTGAACTCCAGTACTTAAGTATCAACAGAAACTTAAAACTTGCTGGATGGTGGGAGTCCTGGTTAGGTCTCCAGAGACATCTATGGATCGGTGCATGTTCACTCTGACATGTGCCAATCTACTGGGACACCAGACAGAAAAAAACCCCAGAAATCTCCTTATTTTACTGTGGACAGAGTGTGGTGATGGTACCAGTAAACACATTGGCAGGGCTGGGGAGAGACAGCCCTTGTGGGGTGGCTCCTTCTGGCTCCTTCTTACCCAGGGGCAGTCACCCAAAATCCTGGCTGGGACAGGAGTACCTTGGGGGCCAGATACTTCTGATAACATCATCTTCCCCAGCTTCTGCTCACTCAGTCAACCCAATTCTGCTGAGAAATGCTAAAATTTGAATGCACACCCCTTCAGAATTCACAAAGTAAACGGAGGTTTCCTTCTGCCACTGGTATTAAGTCCTTTCCTGTCTCTAAGAGCACACAAATGTTCCTTGCAATCAGTCCTAAAACAGGAAAATAAATAAACCGAGAGTTCACACCTTTAGTACAAATGTGTTCGTGTGTTCAGCCTGACACAGGAGCTGGGCCTGCGGCCTGGACACCCAGAGGAGGCCATGGGCCAGCCCTCCCATGCTGTATCTAACACTGTTGGTTTTAGCTGTTATAAAATGCAGGAAATGTGTTGTTCACTCCCCCATTCTCCTTTAGTTTCTTATTAAAAAATATATATATATCCCTCAAAGATAGATGTTTGAAGGGTACAAGCTACAGCTGGGAAGATCTTGGGTTTGAAGAGGGTTTGTAGAACCAGGTCCCAGCGGGGCTTTTCTTCGCTCTGAGAAGGAACAGGGAAGAGCAGATCCGGAGCTGCATTTCCACAAGTCGCTTCCTGATAGTCTGATGACACTTCTGGTTGGGTCTGCCAGCAAGTTTGTAGAGAAAACATATGTTTTTGTCATACATTGTAATGACGGTACCTCTGGTGAATGTAGAAACGTGATAAAGACATTTTCAGAATGGTCTCTACATCCTTATTGCTTTGTTAACACTTTTTAGCATCCTATTAATCACTGTGTATGCATCTGTGAAGAGCTGATATTATGGATTAAGGCAGATTACAGCTCATTGCTCCAGTGGCTGTTTTCTTTAGGATTTAACTCTACGGGCACTTTGCCATCATTACAACAAGACCGAGCCCCTTGCTTTTAGGAACAATTTGCAATGATTTCCTGACTTGGCGAGGTTTTACTTTATAAGGTATCTAAAAATGATCATCCAGAGGGTAAATGATTTTATTATTTCTGGAAGAAGGGTTAATATACTTTCAGTGCTGAACAAACAGTCCAGGAGTTCTTGATTTGCAGATGTTTTCATATAGATAAATGTTGACTTTGGTTTGTCATGCTTGTGCAGATCGTGTCATTTGTCATTTGGGAAAAAAGGGACGGTATTTGAGGAAATGCAGTTAAAAGTTCTACAGATTTAATACATTTAACTTAAAGACCTCCATTATTTCCTGTCAACTCCAGGTTATTCTGCATTTTCACATATTGGTTATTCACTTTGGGATGCTAAGAAATCCCTGTGACTCAGAGCAGAAGTAATTAACACCGGAGAATCAAACAACTCAACTGTGAATAACCTTCAGTCTAAAAA